TCAAAATCCTTCTAATAGCTTTTATTTCCATACACACAAATGCATTGGGAATACTACACATTCTATTCCAAATCAAAACATGAAGAAAAAATATATCAAATTTGTGTTGTTCCTTTAAAAAATTTGAAGAAAAGTGAATATTAGACTGTTTCAAAAAAAATAGCAGTGTTTGTATTTTTCTTTACAAACTCAAACATTCACTATATAAACTGAAAAATGTTTGAAGATTTTGCTTTCCTTTGACTCACTTAATGAATATTTAGTTGTATAAGCACTGTTTCTGAGAACTGCTGTACATCTGTGTTGCATGGAGTCAACCAACTTCTGTCACCTGTGATCAGGTATTCCAGGCCAGGATGATTGGACTACATTCCACAGTTTCTCAACTACCACCTCTACGCTGATGACATGCAAATCTACCTCTCTACCCCTCGCCTCACCCCTTCAGTCTCCGCCTGAATCACCCGCCTACTGAACAACATATCAAACTGGATGCCACTCCACTTCCTCAAATTAAACCTTTCCAAAACCGAGCTCCTAATTTTTCCCCCAGCCCACGCCCCCCCCCCCCCCACCCTCTCCATCATGACCAACAACGCCACCATCAGCCCCACCCCACAAGCCAAAGTCCTAGGTATCACTCTAGACTCAAATCTGTCCTTCCAACCCCATGTCCAATCGCTGGCAAACTCATACAGGCTCCACCTTCCGCAACATCTCCAAAATACGTATGTTCCTAACCCCAGACACTACTAAACAACTTATTCACTCCCTTATTATCTCATGACTCGACTACTGCAACTCCCTCCTTACCGGCCTACCTCATCACAGACTATCCCCGCTTCAGTCTACCCTGAACTCAGCGGCCAGACTCATCCACCTCACCAACCGCTCCGCATCTGCCACCCCCCTCTGTCATTCCCTCCATTTGCTCCCGATTGCCCAACGCATTAAATTCAAACTACTAACATTGACGTACAAAGCCATTCATAACACTGCCCCAAACTACCTTATCAACCTGATACCCAAATACCACCGAACCCGTACTCTTCGCTCCTCATAAGACCTCCTACTTTCTAACTCCCTGGTCTCCTCCTCCCACGCCCGACTGCAGGACTTCTCCCATCCTCTGGAACTCACTACCCCAATCCATCAGACTGTCACCTACCCTCCTCACCTTTAGGCGCACCCTGAAAACCCATCTTTTCAGGGAAGCCTACCCCACCCTCACCTAACAGCCGATCTCCTCCACTCATCCCACCACTCCATCCCCCACAGCCACTTCCTCCTGTACCACTATCCCCTCCCTCCTAGATTGTAAACTCGAAAGAGTAGGGCCCTCGAACCTCTCGTATATTGTTTTGTTACTGTATTGTCTCATATACTGTCCCCCACTATATTGTACAGTGCTGAGCAAACCTTTTGGCGCTATATAAACACTGTATAATAATAATAATTTCTTGGTTTTGCCTCAGAAACTGCATTTTTGATGTCACCCCACATGTTTTCTATTGGGTTAAGATCCAGGGATTGGGCTGGCCACTCCATAACGTCAATCTTGTTGGTCTGGAACCAAGATGTTGCACGTTTACTGGTGTGTTTGAGGTCTTTGTCTTGTTGGAACACCCATTTCAAGGGCATTTCCTCTTCAGCATAAGGCAGCATGACCTCTTCAAGTATTCTGATGTATTCAAACTGATCCATGATCCCTGGTATGCGAAACATAGGCTCAACACCGTAGTATGAGAAACATCCCCATATCATGGTGCTTGCACAACCATGCTTCACTGTCTTCACAGTGTACTGTGGCTTGAATTCAGTGTTTGGGGGTCGTCTGACAAACTGTCTCCAGCCACTAGACCCAAAAAGAACAATCTTACTTTCATCTGTCCACAAAATGTTGTGCCATTTCTCACAGTCAATGCGCTCTTTGGCAAATTGTAACCTCGTCAGCACATGTCTTTTTTTCAACAGTGGGACTTTGCGGGGGTTTCTTGCAGATAGCTTGGCTTCACATAGACATCTTCTAATTGTAACAGTACTCACAGGTAACTTTACACCTTCTTTGATCTTCCTAGAGCTGATTGTTGGCTGAGTCCTTGCCATTTTGGCTATTCTTCTATCCTTTCGAATGGTAGTTTTTTGCTTTCTTCCACGTCTTTCAGGTTTTGGTTGCCATTTTAAAGCATTTTAGCTGAGCAGCCTATCATTTTCTGCACTTCTTTATATGTTTTCCCCACTCCAATCAACTTTTTAATCAAGGTACACTGTTCTTCTGAACAATGTCTGGAACGACCCATTTTCCTCAGAATTTCAGAGAGAAATGCACTGTAACCAGCATGTACAACATTTGCTGCCTTCCTTCCTTAAATAAGGGCAATAATTGCCACCTGTTTTTCAAAGAATGAATGACCTCACTAATAGAACTCCACACTGCTATTATTTTGAACATGCCCCTTTCAATTAGTGATTCAATTACACAGAATCAGCAGCATGCATGTCATGACTGTTGGGTCTGTTGGATTTCTATTACTCTACTACACCTGCCAGTAAATTATTTGCCATGTAGAAATATCATTTCTACCAAAAACAGTGATTGATCAGGTATGTGATGTCTGACTGCTATTATTTTGAACACAACTGTATATTGGAGAAAAATGGTGTATGTGAAATTTGGGGATTTTGTTGGTGGCAAAGTGGGATTCTTGAAGAAATAGGACATCAGCTTGTAAGGAGCGAGCTTCTTTTTGTAGTAGAGATCTTTTGAATGGTGAGTTGAGGCCACGGACATTTAAGGATGATATTTTAATCATAGTGCTGGATGTAGGTGAGTTGTCTGGGGCAGCAGCAGAGGTATTTTGTAGGTTATGTAGAGTAATGGCATATCTTTTTGTTGTTTTGGAGAAGTTTCAACAGAGAAGAGGTAAGGTGCTGGATGCGGTCGCTGGTTTGATGAGGATGTTTCATCTTCTAGGTCGTTTTTTCGAGTGAGGAGGAGTTGAGTCGATCGACTGTTATCTGCTCATATTCAGCCAAATGCTTCAGAACTCATTGAACGCCGCTTCACAGTGCAGATGGAAAATGACCGAAAGCATACTGCAAAAGCAACCAAAGAGTTTTTTAAGGGAAAGAAGTGGAATGTTATGCAATGGCCAAGTCAATCACCTGACCTGAATCCGATTGAGCATGCATTTCACTTGCTGAAGACAAAACTGAAGGGAAAATGCCCCAAGAACAAGCGGGAACTGAAGACAGTTGCAGTAGAGGCCTGGCAGCGCATCACCAGGGATGAAACCCAGCGTCTGGTGACGTCTATGCGTTCCAGACTTCAGGCTTTTATTGACTGCAAAGGATATGCAACCAAGTATTAAAAAGTGAAAGTTTGATTTATGATTATTATTCTGTCCCATTACTTTTGGTCCCTTAACAAGTGGGAGGCACATATGCAAACTGTTGTAATTCCTACATCGTTCACCTGATTTGGATGTAAATATCCTCAACAAGCTGACAGTCTGCAGTTAAAGCACATCTTGTTCTTTTTATTTCAAATCCATTGTGGTGGTGTATAGAGCCAAAAATGTTAGAATTGTGTCAACGTCCCAATATTTATGGACCTGACTGTACATTTTTCTGATCCCTACCTGTCCCTTCACAAGGGAGGGTACAATTGCAAGCTGTTGATTTCTGAAGGGGTTATGCCAGTACAGAGAAAGCAAACTGGAAAATTCCTGTTAATGTAATCTGAAGAGATGGGTTACCAAAGATGATGTCTTTCCCCTTAACTCATTTTTGTTTGCACTAGTAAAGATTTTGGTAAAATTGTGTAAATAACAAATATCGTTTAACAATCATCTGCATAATTACTAGGGGAAATACAAGATTTACAGTACCATCTTTGGATTGTATAGGTCCTGGGCTTTCAAGAAATAAATGGTTTGGGGAAGCAGTGGGTGGGTCACATAAGGACTGTAGAAGTCTTGGCTGACAGTAGATAGCAGCCTTCCTTGTAACTTATAGCAGCAAGTAGTTTTAGAAGTGAGCAAAGTCCCTGTAGCAGTAGTTACAGGGCTGAGCTCCTCAGGCACAAGCTAGTTACAACAAACTACAACAGCTCATAGGTAACATAACTAGGTAAAGTCCTTTCCCTTTTCTTTTTCTAGATGCTGACTATCAAGTACCATGGGAGGTTGCAAGCATACAAAGTCCCCACATTTCTCAATGTCAGTACTCACAAGGCTCATGGACAGAATTGTTGCTTCCTTCCAATCTTCCAAGTGAAACCCTCCAGTGACAGCAGACAGAGCTTTGGTGGACAGCTCCCCTCAGTCAGCTTACTGAAGAACCAGGGTCTCTCTCTCTAACTTCAGGTCCTCAGGTTGACCCACCAGAGGCCACATGGCAGCAGTTGCCAGAATAAGCAGCCTGCCTTCAGCCTGGCTGGTGCAATCCATTCCTGGAAAAGACCCCAAGCCTATGTGCTCCTAGAACATAAATACCACTTATAATTCTTATAGTAACATTTTATTCAAGGACACTGGCAGAGCACTGCAAATATTTAGGAACAATCTCTTCAGCTAATCTTTCATTTATCTTTTTACACATCAGTATCTGATTTTAAGTTTCAAGATAGCTTCTCACAATAACTAGTAGAAGCTAATAAAACTACATTTCATATTTTTCTTCAATTCTCTTTCAGAAGCTACAATAATTTTAGTCTTGGGTAGGTTTTGAGCACCCTATATTATCTTTAGATTATTATTTTTGACAGACTATGTTTAATCAGTATTCACTTTTTTTTAAAGGCAAACTGCTTGTATACAATTACAGGAATAATTACTTACAGCAAGTATTGTCATTCTGCATATGGGGATATTAAATAAACAGCACTGTAAGAAACTTATTTACTGTGAAACCGAAACATTAATGACTAAAATATATCTAAGACTCAGACTTATTTCCATTTAGATATAGCAGGAAAGGGTTAAAACTCTACCAGTGTTTTCTGGCATCTGTGTCCCATTGGGGAGGTTTATCATCACCTCCTGTAAACACAACAGGAAGTTACTATAAAAAAGTACCATGGTATTAATCAGGGGCGGACTGACAACTCATGGGGCCCACGGACAATAGGGACCTTGCCCAAACTCAAAAAAGCCTATGAAAAAGGTACCAGGGGCATCTCATGAGGCCCCCTACTGACCCCGGGCCCTTGGGCAGTGCCCGAGTTTCCAAATGGTCAGTCCGCCCCTGGTATTAACTGATGGAACTGTCCTATAGTAACTGGTAACCATCGCTATTACATTGAAAACAAATGGGTTCTTTCAAATGTATGAACTGATTAGCCAATGACTACATGAGAACTTTACCTTAGGAATCCTTTAAGGTCTCAAAAGCCAGTTATCACACCAATTCAGACTTACAACCCTACTAGGGATGTGTGCCCCAATGTGGAGATTTTGCTTGCCACACAAGAAGAGATCTGATGAAACATTTGAAGGCTGAAGACTCCAAAGGATCCAATAAACTTTTTTTTATCACTACTATTTTTTTTTCAAAAAGGTGAATAAAGAGTTGAGTGAGGACATTATGTCTGCTCCTTTTTAACATCTTAGCTTTCTAGTTAGTTGTGAATGAGCAAGAGGTTTCTTTACCAGTTCAAAAAAACATAGCAGGTAAATTTCATACAAGTCCAAACTATTGTACCACTAGGGCCTGCACCTTGAAGCATATGCCCATCATTGAAAGAGTTACAAGCTGCAATTAACACAGTAGGCAGACTGCAGACTTGAAGCTCTTCAGTTAGGAATACTGGACTGGTTTGGATTCCTTATGTATTATGCTGGTATCTTTAGATAGGACAAAGCTTCTATTTTAGCCACTTGCCTACAGGGCACTTTTACCCCCTTCCTACCCAAACCAATTTTCAGCTTTCAGCACTGTCGCACTTTGAATGACAATTGCGCGGTCATGCAACACTGTACCCATATGAAATTTTTAACTTTTTTTTTGCATAAATAGAGCTTTGTTTTGGTAGCATTTAGTTGCCACTGGGGGTTTTATTTGTTGCACTATAGCAAAAAAAAAATAAAAAAAAAGTTTTTCATTGTTTCTATTATAAAAGTTTGCAAACAGGTCATTTTTCTCCTTCACTGATGTGCATTGATGAGTCTGCACTGATGGGCACTGATAGGCATCACTGATGGGCACTGATAGGCACAATTGCTGGCCAGCATTGATGGGTGGCACTGATGGGCACTGGTAGGAGGTACTGGTGGGTGGCACTGCTGGGGGGCACTGATCACCAGGGCACTGATCATCAGTGCCGATCTGCTCTGTGGCAGCTTCTGGTTATCTGCTGCAGTACTTTCCTCACGCTGTGACAGTGCTGGAAAGTGTTGCTGATAACCGGCAACTGTATTTACTCCATGATCTGCTGTGTCATTGGACACAGCTGATCACGTGGTAAAATACCGCTGTGATTGGCCTTTTACCTTATAATGTGATCAGCTATGTTCGTAGATTGCTGAGTGCGCACCGCTGAGGGCGCTTGGGAGGGAGCGTTCTGGGAAGACATCGTGTGATGCCCTCCCAGAACTGGACAACCACAATGTAGCTATCATTTGGCTGTAGTTGGTTAGCAAGTAGTTAAAGAAAAATGGGGAACCAAAAAAAATGTAGTATTTATTATAAACATAGGTGTAAGGTGCTAAGCATTATCGTAATCCAAATAAAACCTTGAAAAAAAAAAAAAAAAATCTTGAAATACAGTGCACAAAAAATTGACAATGACAAATGACATTGGTGATTTTGGTGCTGAAATGTAAACTAAGTCACCCAGATCTCCACAGCTCCACTGAAGACAGGGCAAGCAACACAAACTTACCAAATGAATTTGATCCCCAAGAGCTGAGTGGTGAAATAGAGCTTGTGAAAAATATCGTATTGTCTCGATATTTTATTAACTTGTATTGATGAGAAATGTTCAGATAGAAAGTCCTTCCACTTCTTGCGTAAAAACTCAAAAAGATGATTTAATTATAACGTTGCATAAAATTAGAAATAAAATATTGGCATACAGAATGTTTAAATAATGTCCAAAAAATATAGCTAAGTTCTTGATAATAAGATTGTATATATGTATATGTGTGTGTAATGTCTGTCGCATCAAGGCTGCTATAGAGTGAGTGAAACTCAAACCTTTGTTCTACTCTTAAAAGAGCAATCCAGCCCCCACCTTTCCTAAAAGTGGGTTGGTATTCTCTTGTAGTCCCACTAAGATAATTGGAAACAGATGTGTATATATAACAAACCTCCAGTCTACTTCTCCTAAAGTCTGAGCGTAACCTAAGAAGGCCTAGACAAAACTTCACTGACATTCCATCAATTAGAATACATTAGATGTAACATACATATATATATATATATATTTTATATATATAATATTCTCCTAAAAGTAATCTTACTAAGAGTTATCTCGTATATAAATATCGTAATCAAGAAATATTACAGTATAAACCGAACAATTCACTAGTTAGTGAAACATATAATCTCTTACATAGATGGGGGAGGATGGGGGAAGGTATAGCTAATTGCTCTCATATGTGGCTTGAATGTAAAGGGAAAAACCCAAGATATATGTACATATTCACAGACTATGAAGTCTAATTCCTTACTTTTCCCAATCTAGAACAAATATAAATATAATAACTCAATTATTCTATTAAGATCCAACTCATTCATACTTATGTTAGTACTGTTAATAAGAAGATATTAGATATTAGGTTATGGAAAGCTTCTAACAGAGCTCTATGTGAAAAATCATGAGGTAACCCAATCAAATATCGTTGCTCCATTTCCAGGTAAATATTCAGCTCATTGAAAATACAGAAATAAACAGCCTCATAGTGTAGCAGTAAAAAGAATGGTTTTATTAACATTTAAAATTGCACACTTATGTGGTATATGGAAAACATACACAAATCAGATGTCAACAAAAACAACTCTGGAGACTGAGTCGCAGTTGCTTGCATGATGACGTCCAGTGCTATGTCAGGTTCTGCTCTACCCATTGGAAACAAAAAACAACACCTCCTGCGCTCTATGGCCCAGAGCAAGGGTGGGTAGATGGACACTGAACTTGAAGAAATTCATCACCAAAGCATCAAAGGTTGTGTGGCTCTAAACAAGGCTGGGGAAGCTCGACCAATACTTTTTTTTTTCTTTTTGTTCCGCTGTACAGTTCTGCTCTACCCATTTTCTCATCTCTGATGCAAGACTCATGAGTGCCTATATACAATATATATATATATATATATATAATATATATAAAATCATAAAACTGGTCTCCAATGTTTACAAGCCTTTATATGTGTGAGCTGACTGTGACTGATTGCTGGGGACGTTAACTCCCTCCATCAGGCATCAGGCTGTGAGAGCCTGCTGCTTAGTGAAAGGGCTGACTGCTGACAACACACTAATAAGGTGCTGCCTGTTTGTTTTGTGGAACCCATTAAGAGGCATTCTGTTAAAACTGACATGTTTAGTTAGTGGCTCACATTAGCAGATGTTTTGCTTGCTTTATAATATAGACTTGTTGTACAAAGCCCGCCTACCATTGTAAACTAAAAAAGTGTTTGTCAGCAGGGCAAGAGGGAAGATAAATCTCTCTAACAGAGATCAAATGGGGCTTCTAATGTTAACCCTATTTAAGGCACCTAATGTGATCTGTTTTGAATGATATACAGAAGATTAAAGGCCTTTGGCCTTGAGTTAATAGGCAAATGTAGCTTGGCTTTGACACCCTCCTGAACACTTTGCATTGACAGATGTACTTTACCTGCCTATGACCGCCTTCTGTTATAAATTTCACCTGCTTGAAATTGTTTTCTCATTCTTTTTCTCTTTTTTTCTTTTTTATTTATAGGAAACTGATTTAATTTACATGTTTTATTAAAAAACAACTTTGGAAAGAAAATACATTATTTTTATTTTTTTGTGAATTTGAGCTTAATTGCAATTTGAACTAAAACCCATCCCTGTCAGTAACCCTTCCTGCTGTTGTCACTATTCGGAAATCATACAGCCGTTGTAAAGTTATGTAGACATGAAATGGTCGCATTGGATTAGCATCACTGAGATGCCAGAAAGAATTAAAACAAAAAAAGATGAAAACAAGTGTTTTCAAACAAACCACAGAAGTAAAACACCATTGTAAGCCTGTGTAACAGGATCCACTTAACACTCCAGCTACAGAGGTGCTCGCCCGGCTTGCCTCTGGAAAGCAGCCACAATAAAAGGAAATGGCTGCACACGCCACCAGGGCACAACAATCCTATTGAAAAACCTTCATGGAAGCATCAAAAAGCTCCCAGCAAGTAAAAAATGCAATCAGGAGAGATGTTGAAGCATTTTCAAGCTCCATCGTGTTATGGAGCGCTAAGGAGCATGAACATCTCTCTCAATTGCACCTCCAACCCACAAGCCAAGAACTTCCCAATACATCCATGAAAATTCACCAACAAACCACCACATCCCAGCGGAGTCTGCAGCCACTTCTTACCACTGTAAGTATTTTCAAAGATAATTATTTGATACATAGTGTTTAGCAAGCTAAATGTCATCCAGTTAAGGTTTGCATTTACCTGAAGATGTGATACCAGTCCATTAGCAAGGTAATTGCTGTTATTAATAAGGGGTGAAATCAAGAGCAATGTCTGCATGCTATTCCACAAATGATGTTGAGCAGGGATCACAATTTAGTTTAGTATGGGAAAGTAATGTAAGTTAAATAAAAAAAAAACATGTTCTTTGTTTTTTTCCTAGTTTGCAGAAAATCATATTTACAGGTATTTGGAGCCTGCTCTAGCCTTTCAGCTTGAGCTGAACAGAATGAGGAATTTGACTTTAATGCAGTGCCATGTGCCAATCACAAGATGCATCTCTACCTTGTGGCAGCAAAAATAGCTGCTGGTATAGAGGTGACAGATTATAGGTTCTTTATTTGAGCCACTATCCGACATCCCGACCT